ACTGAAGTGTTTTTTGCTTGCTTCGAGTCCTTAAGCTAGGAAGAGGTGCGATAAACAACAGGTAAAAACGAACCGGTGATTATCGGTAAGTTCTAGGAAATGGTGAGTGTTTAGTGTAAATTTTTAGGCCGCTGCGAGGATCGTTCTGTTGATTCGAGTAGCCTTGCATATTATTATTATTTTATTATAAACGGGATCAAGTCCCATTAGAGTGCATAGGGTGTATAAGCATTCAGAATGTAATACATAATACATAATTCGCGGGGACGTATTACCATTAGTTACGTTAATTTGTACGACAAATTTTTGAAGCTGTAGGCATTACTCGAAAAAAAGTTCAAATGCGTGCTTAGTTTTTCGGCTTCGATGCAGGCACGATTTGTGGGGTTTGAATTACCGATTGTAGTCTTGTAAAGGGTTGGATGAAACGACGAAGTGGATCTTAATGGTGCATAAACGTTTACAGATGCTAGTAATTGCGGACAGCAAGCAGCGCCATTAATCATTTTATGTAAAAACATCAGATCGTTAACGGTTAGGATCATTACTAATATTGCACCCTTTGTGTCTGCATTCGAAGGGTTAGTCAAGTTTGAAGATTTCGGGAGACTTTATTTTTATAAACTTTGAGGAGCCAAGAGAAGTTCAGCATGCAAATTGGGGCTTTCTGATTTTCTCGTTGTTTTTGCTTCTTTCGATGGACATGGAGGCCTTGATCCTAGATATCCTTCTGGTGATTCACATCGCTCCTCGCACACTTCATCGAAATACCTGTTAGTAATTGCATGGAGTTTATAATTCACTTTTCTCGCCAACAATGATCAATGAACCTGATCAACTTATTTTTCTACCTGTTTATTCTTATTTGCCAGGATAGACAGTGACGATACCGATGAATTTTGGCACGTCCACGTCCCAGGGCAATCCTCCTAGCACCCCTTTTCATTCCAGCCAACTGGTTAGCTGGAAGAGTGCAAGTCATCGAAGAAACTAGGCTCAAGGAACGGACCTCACGTCCAACATTCATTTACGACAGATATTGTTTAACTACTCGTGTTCCGCTCCGCTGTTCATCAATCAGGGAGATCTTTAATTGGTCAGCTGAGTAATTAAGAAAGTAGGAGGAGAGATTAGGCTCCATAAGAATACAGCTTCCTCCCGAAAGCCTCAATAATAACTATGCAATACTGGACAGTGAAAGATTTAACCGTCTGCGTTGAGTCAGATTCGGGAATTTTTGCCTCCAGACATCGTACAATGATAAATTACAAATCATAAACGACAATAAACCTTCTTTCATGCATTAATATTATCCCGAAGCTTAATAATTTGTAACCAACATTACGCTGAAATATTGAAATAAAAGCAAACTACACGGTACTTCCCTACAGTAGCCAAGTGAGTGCAGAATAATCAGCCTATTCGCAACGCAAAGGGTTAAATCTTCGACATGCCTATTGCTATTGACTGAGCAAAAAGCAGAACTCTACACAGCAGAGAAACGTCGAATTTCTTCATCCCGACTTCTAACTCCAGGTACAAACCAAATCGCCTTAACACACAAGCACGTTAGCACCATTCGCTACCAGCAAAGGTACATCTACAAAAGGCGGCGAAGTACGTGTAAAAAGGCAGGATCGGACGATTGAAACAATCGTCGAAACGGCATTGTTCCGGTCAACCGAGTGATTCCAACTATTCGATTTATCCGGATCACCAGCAGACTCGATACCAGATAGTCGTATTCGGGTTGTCGGGTTCGATGGAAGACTGTTTCCTCGAATGCCGGGAGATCCGCATAGCAGTCCGCATAGTGATTCAGAATGGAGTCGTACCGGTACTGTCTAGCTGTGGAGGTGTTCCACTGGAAGCGTCTTTCTATCGAGGAGTCTTTCCCCGCTTTCTTTCTTTTCTTTCTATTTTTTTTTTTTTTGGTGTAAAAAGATGCTCGATGATTTTGCACAAGATTCGAAGAGAGCCGCGTAAACGCTGACGCGGCGGTAAATGTACTCCAATCCACTTCGTTGGCGACAGCACTTGCGCGTGAAAAGGGTTTTTCCTAATAGAAGAGGACAGAGAAATATATATATATATAGAATACGACACGACCTGATAGGTGGTTAGCACACAAGCCGGAAGTCAACAGGATTTCCCTTCACGAAGCACAGAGAATAATGTTTCCTAGGGTCCGCAGACTTACGTCCTTACGGTTCCACCTTCTTCTGTTTTTTGTTACATTTTTTTCTTCTTCCGTACACTTCAATTGATCTCTCTTTATATCTGTCTGTCTCTATCTCCTTCGTTTACGCTCTAACGCATGCTCGGCAATCGACGGATCTCGGTTTTGTTACGACCGTCAAACGGGAGAAAATGGAACACGAATCTCTTTCGTTCGTGTCGATTAAAAAATACCGGAAGAGCACGAATGGGTTGAGGCGGCGACGTGTTAACGTTCGTCGGCTAGCAGCCGGGTAAGGCAACACGAGGGGGAAAAGGTGAAGGAAAGAAAAACGCCGAGTAGAGAAAGAAAAGATAGAAAAGGAAAAAAGGAAACGAGAGAACAATAAAGCAAGTTCTCCGATTTATCACCTTTCTTTTCTCGTTGTTTCATCGTTACAATGTTTGTACATCCTCACGATCATCAGCATTTTGTAAAGAGTTCGATTCTGTAGATCTCGAGAGTTGAGCGAATCTGATTTCAAATTAGACTTAGAGTACAATTTTTCTTTTCCGTTGTCGTTCGGCCGTTATTTTCTTTTCTTTCTTCTTCGTTTCTTTTTACCCTGCGAACGAATCATTTTTCTGTTTCTTTCTCTTCTGTTCCACCTTTGTCGTTGTTGGTCTACCTTTCGTTTCTCACGCGTTTCTTCGTTAGTTAGAGTATCATTTCTCTTCTTTCCTTGGTTCTCTCTACTTTCGTTGCTGTTCTATCCCCTGTATCTTCCTTTTCTCTTCTTTTGGTTTTTTGGTAGCGGTTTCGTATACCGAGAGATATTACTTATATTGTGCTCGTGCAATGCAACAAAATGTCTGTGACAGATGTAAAAGCATGCGTTCGCGTAGTTAACGTTTACTGGTTCAGTACGTTTTCTCGTACGATTTTTTCGCCTACCTTTAATATTTTCTCTCTATTTCTATACATATACATATATATATATATATACAAGCAACTTGGAATGACGATGGAAAGAATGTTGAGAGTAACGTTTACATATTATATCTCACTGTGTGCCTCGAGTTTTATCTGCGTGTTCGTTTTTTCTTCGCATATTTACATATTATATATATATAGTATATATACGTATAAACTGATTACAAGTAACGTTCTGTTTCCCGTTTGTTTTTCTCCCCCTCGCCACCACTTTCAGATAGGGTATACCGTTTGCGTTTGTTCGTAACCATTGTTCTTTATACCTTCATTATTACATTTATACATTTGTACATCTTTTTTACTTGGGAATGGTGCCTGCCAGTGTGTTTCCTTTTTCGTTTCCCTTTTCGTTTTCTGTATTTTTCCAAAGAACGATTCTTGCATGAAAACACTTTGCCCCTACCAATTACACCGGGTACACCTTTTTTCTCCCCCTGGTGAAACATTTTTCCAACGAATGCTTTACTCCTTGTTTAACAAGTAACCGATCGATGAGTTCCCGGGCTCCTTTGTTAAAAAACACCGTGTACTTCCCTCCGTATTATTTCCCAACCCTCGTGGAATACGTACAGCTTCAGTTTCAACCAAGTTTATATTTTCCCCCTCCCCGTTTTTCAGAAACCTGCACGTATTTTCTTTCTACTTCTACCCCCTCCCCCCTTTTTTCCGTTCAAAAGAATAATTACAATTGTGCACGAATTAACCGTTCGTTTCTTGTCGATTTTAATTTCCATTACGACGATTCTTACGTTGCATTCTTCAATTACTGCTCGAAGTTCTTCCTGGTAATTAGTTCCTCTGATTGAGACAACGAATGAGTAAACATCTTACCCCCTCTGAATACGACATCGTCAATTCAAGTAGTCTGACACTCGCACACACCGTCATCGGTTCTCTTCACACACACACACACACACACATGACATAGACACTTGTATACACATGTTGTTGTTCACACTCTTAGACGATGCGTAAGTATGCAGTAACATCGAAACCCGTTGGAAATTGCATGCGTTTCACGACACACGAGTACACGCGAAGTACAAACAGCCACACGCGACAGCAAAGACAAAGTAGTTGATAGATAGAAACTCCCCGGGCTTCGACGATCCTCGTCGACTCTCGCGAACCATCCCTCAGCTCGATCATCCTACCGAACCACCGTTCGTTCGTGGAACAATGGCTAATCAGTCGGACAAAAGGAATCATTTTTCCTGCCCTACAACGAAAGACGCGTTGATTGATCCTCGTGTAATACCAGCTTCCGCATGCTCAACCGTTCGAATCTCTAATTACAAGAAAAGAAAAAAAAGGTGGAATAATTGCCTTATGTACCTCGAGACGCGGAGCTGGCTGAAACGAAGTTTCAGCGACATCGGAAGTACAATTTCAATTCCCCCGAGCGATCATTTTAACGAAAATAACAATTACAACTGTTGCACGAATTTCTGTATTTTTTCCCGTTTTTCGTGAATTTCCAAAATTTCCTTCGTTGCTCCGACGAAGGACAGCCTCGCCTCGAGGTTGGACAATCTGCGGAGAACGAAGTCTGTATGGGAGCCACGTGCCAGGTAGAAACGAGGTATTGTTCACGAACAACAGTCGGCTGGATCGCGCGATCGAGATAAGACGATAAAGGGGAGCGTGGACAGAGGTCAGGACGATCGACGTAATTGTCGCGTCGATTGTCGATTGGTAAGGTTGGGGGTGGGGAAGCGTGGAAGAGGAGGTTGGGTACGTTTGGTTGAATCGACGAGGATCGTAGGAGAAGATCGGGCGACAACGAAAAGCTGGTCCGTGAGGAACCGGCGAGCTGGAAGATTTTAAGCCAATTGGATGGTATTTTTAGTGCCGCCACGGTGGACGGTGGAACCTATCGACCAGAACGCGGTTGTAGGTCACGGCGTCTCCATTGCCTGTCAGGCTGAAGGATTCCCCATTCCGACGGTGACTTGGAAGCAATCGATCGGTAAGTCGCGACTCCTTGAAATCTACCGTCCCACTGCGGCCTGATAGCGTGTGCCGGGACGTGGACGATGGAAAACCATCCCGATGCAGCTCTTGCGTCGATGAAGGAGACCGACGACGTGTACACTCCTGTTCAGAAGTATCGACCCTTTCGCCGCGGCAAATTTTGGTACGAAACGCGAGTGGCGGATTTAGACGTTCCACAACGGTTGGAAGATTTTCCTTTTTGGTTGTGCCGCTTTGGAATTCGTTTTATTGAATTTACGTGGAAGAGTGAAGAGGATGAAATTAACCCTAGAGCGGTCTTCGGGTCTTTTTTGACCCGCCGCCTTTTTACATTTTTAGTCATTTTTGCTTTTTACGTTCCTTAACATTACTTTAAACGTTTATCGTCTAGGTTCGTATGTCTCGTTGGAAGCAAAAATTATTACACGTAAGGTCTTAGGTCCTTTTTCACCCAAAAGTCTTAAGTGTACAGTCAAAACGAAGAACGCAGTAGGGTTAACTTGAGAGACTCCAATAGCGCAATGCGACCAACTTTTCAAACCGCCGATAGCAGCGAAAGGGTTAAATGGTGTTTGCTCTTTGACAGAAAGAGAGCTTTCTTTTGGAAGACTCTACGTCTTTGACATTCGCTCTTACAATCCTTTTTTCTCTTTTTTCTTTTTTAGTTTCTGTGTTAGTATGAGTTGTGCCTATTGGCTCAGGGCCAATTTACCAACTTATCCGTCTATGTTATTATCTACTATGACGTTTTGGATTAATGCTAGTTAATTGCATAAGTAATTGTAGAGACAAATTTTTTCAAAATTTCTGATGTTACGATCCGTTTTTCTCTCTTCGCTCTTCTTTCATACTCACTTACACGCGGTCACGCTCGATCACAGATTTGTTTTTAAATACTGAAGGTATTATTTTGGTATTAAGCAACTTTTTTAGTTTTTCCTATTTTCCCGGAATTTGGTTTTAATTCTTTTCAAGATTGAAGTCTTTTTTCTTACATGTTTAGCAATGTCATCCCTCTGAATGTTCGAAATTATTTTTTTTTCAGTTGTGCGACGTTTTTATTTCTTAAGATTTTTATAAAACGCTTAAAAACCTTCCTTCTGAAAATTGCAACACTTGTAAAGGATAGGAGAAATATCGAAGCCAAAATTCTGAGTTACTTCAATGTCAATTATGTCAATTTTTCACCGAAACATTACTCGTTATTTTACTTCTTACATAGAGCTGCTATAAATTTCATTAATAACAAAATATGTTCCAAAAGCTCTAAGTATATCTAAAGTAGAATTTTATTATTTCGTAGTGGACGAAGTTTGATCAAAATATACGCGGACCAGCGTCATGAAACTTCGTTAACAAGAAATTATTCCACGCTAAAATTATCTCCTTTAAAATAGTCAGAATGAAACTAACCACAACATATTGTGCCATCAATTTTTCTCTTCACTTACGAAATATTGAGTTACAAGCACAGCCCCGGTATTTTTTAAACGAACCTCGTATTTTTGCCGATGTAGAGCCACTCAGAAGCCGAAATTAACTCCACCAAATTAAATTTATTAAATTTTTATTATTTACGAAGCATTAAGCAGCAAGCATGTGCTTCGACACTAAAATTGGAAAGATTTCAAAGAATTTCAAAAGTAAAAAGAAACGATACTAACTTCGGCGTAGAAATCCAATTTAAATATATAATACTTTCTCTACAAGCGTAACCAGTATCCTAACACTTATGAACGGAAGCGTACATCGATCATCGATCCTCAATCAACGGTCTAATTCATTTTTCTCTGTCTTGCGTTCTCCGTGAGTTTTCCGTCGCATTTCATATTTACCATACGTCTATTCACAAAATACGAAAAATTATTTCTAACATTTGGTACCATAATAATTTTTAAACTGTAAACAAAGCGAATTACGACTGAAAAAAATTCCTGTCTGTTTCGTCGCGCAGGTACGAAACGCGTGGGGTCTTCGTTGATCGCGTTTATGGCACGCTCGCACGAGAAGGTTATTTTTGAGAACAAAGACGCTTCGTAGCTCCGCGAAAAAATAAGTAATTTCTTACAGAACAGTGCCTTTGGAATTTTGACTTTTCCGCGTCCTCGATAACCGAAGACGTGTCATAAACCAGGTAGTCCTGAAGGGTCAATCCACACGCGCGTATAACGGCACTTTCGGCCGAGGGTTGACCTGGCGGGAATTTCCGACGCGTCACCGAAGGACAGAAGATTCCACGCACCCGCAGGTAGGGCCCCACTCCTTCCAAGGAAAAGCGCGCTAAGGTCGCAATGGAAGGGTGGGTGACACTCAAGGGACACGTTGATTGGTAATTTGTGCGTACGTGAGAAACTAATCAGCGTGCCTTTTTGCACTTGGCGGGGGAGTCACGGCGGACTCCAGAAAAATTCGGGACTCGGAACACACATTCGCAAAGATTCTCTCGTGCGAACAACACACAGTCTCCAACCGTTCGAGGAGACACCCGTAGTTTTCGAGTCGCGACCGATCACTCGAGTCTTGAAACAAGTCGTGAATCGCATCGTGACGCAGGTTTGCTAACGTATCGAGCAAACGAAATTTGAACTAGTTACCCAAAATTAATTTGGCGGGTAACAGTCGCGACCGCGAGCTTCCTTTTGAAGCTATCTATCAGGTCTATCATCCCAAGTATTACACACCGTTTGCAAGGTAAATTCTCACGTCACAGGCAATATTCTTCCGTATAAAGATTTATCTATACCGTCTCTTTGTCCGACACACAGAACTTCTCCATATCCTCTCGCAGTTTTCGCGACTTCCAACCGAGGCTGACTTACGACAGGCGCGTTCCACGCGCTTGTAAAGGATTTGTTCGGCGCAAAGGAATTCATGACGCACGAATCACGCTTTGAACGGACGAACGGGAACGCCTGCTGCCTTTTAAGTTCGATTTTATTTCCTGTCGCAGCTTGATGTCGCTTAATAAGCGGAACTCGGTGCTTCCGCTTTGACGGCTCGTTCCTTCTGCAAAGATCCCACCCTGCGCTCTCGAACTTACGTTACATAGAGAGATGTACTCCGCGGAACCTTCATCTTTATTAGTACTTCTTATTCCTCCGAGCAAGCGATACGCGGATGCTTTAGAAGCCTCTTCTCATTCAGAATCTGGGAACGTCTTATTCGTTCCAGATAGTTCTCACTTCTGCGGATTCGTTTAATTGGCAGGATCAACGTGTCTTCCTTCCGCGTCGCGGATCCTTTTTTTCGTCGATAACCGGCGGAGGTGTGGAATGAAATTCTGTCGAATATACAGGATGAGGCAGGACGCGTGTTTTGTAAATTTGCAATTATTTTTTAACGTCGTCTGTTTTCTACAGTCCTCTTATCGGAAGGCGCAGTAGTTTTCCGCGAATGTTCCCATTTTCAACCGTTTCGTCGCTGTCAACGCTTACAGGCGCGGAGAATTTTTAGGTACTGCGCTGTCGGTGACTTTCGGCACACTTTCACCTTAATTTTTGCCCTTTTTTAAATTTCTAAACGCCGAAGCGAGAGATTTTGTGGCCTCGATTGAATATTTACGCGATTCTGACGAACTCGGTACGTCAAAAGAATCAAATATGTGACTGGGGTGAAAACTTATTTTACTTTGGAACTTTATTTGAGGTGTTATTATAGAAGATACACTCTTTAACGTCTGTATGCTTTTACAACTCTAAAATTTACTTATAGGCCACACACACACACACTCGCTCTCTCGCTTTCCAGACCATTCTTCTATTTAGGATTAGGTGATGCTCACCTTCGCAGAAACGCAATTTGACGACCTAAAGATTCCTAACCATTAATTGCTTCTAGCGACTCGGATTCTTACAAACTATTAAGTGATTCTAATGGCTCGGATTCCTACAAATACGTATACAGATTCTTACGAGTGCATGCATTGCAGTCTTCAGATGCTTCATTCGTCAGAACGTCAATTCGTCCGAATACATATCCACTAAAACTGGCCGCAGCGAAAGGGTTAAAGCACCGCAACATCTCTAAACTTTCTCTCATGCCTTCTTCCAAACAACTTCGACTCGATAGCAATCGTTGGTCGTCTGTATTTGTCTCTCCTCGTAAACACTCTCTGACCGCACATAGTCCAAGTTCCTAACATAAACTATGTCTGTACGAAAAATACTTTGTCGCTGACAATCATGAAACCCGGAAATAGTCGAATTAACGCGTCCTCTGCACATATTGAAACTCGACATTTCTCGAAAACGAGGCTTCAAAGAACAAATTTTCTTCCTCATTTTCCCTTTATTCCTTTTTCTTTTTTTTAACGTGGTGGAAATCTTCAAAAGACGCCGCCTCCCCTGAGGAGGGGAGATGGTGGTGTGGGATTTTTACCCACTAAAACCACCACGACGGCCCTCCTCGGACGCCTTAGAGGAGACCCCGGGATCTCGCGGAGTGAACACTACCGGGGTCCCTCCGCGCCAAATGGCTCACGCCACCTCCCGACCTGCGCTCACAGGTGCAGGCCGAATCGGGGGCCGTAACCCGACTCGACCTCCGCCAAGTCCACGTGCAATGACGAACCTGAACCCTCATCCAGACCGTCTGTGGACCCACCACCCCAAGTCGCGGGAAAGCAAAGGCCCCTCCCCTACGCCAAGGGGTAGTCCTCCTCGATCGCGTGCAATGACGTCGACATCCGATGCCAGATGACAGAGTCTTCCCCGCGGCGATCTCGCCCCACCAAAAACCACGCACGGGACATCTCGACCTGGATAAAGGGTCGCGACCTGGGTAAAAGGCCAAAACTCGCCCCACCAAAAACCACGCACGGGACATCTCGACCTGGATAAAGGGTCGCGACCTGGGTAAAGGGCCAAAACATTGAGGGACCCAACGGGAATCGAATCCGGGACCTTCGGCTTTGCGCGCTACGCCAACCACTCCCTTTCCCTTTATTCCTACACGTACAATCACTCTCTGCCAAATTCTACCATTCGTTCCGTCTCACCTTGCATATCAACGATTCTACCGCAAAAAAGAAAAGAAAGAAACAGAAAATTCGAAGAAACTCGAATATAGTACAAGATTATACACCGACGTCTTTCGTATAAATATAAAGATAAAGCTCCGTGGTCTACAAGCAACGAAGGGCAGCGAAACGAGAAGGAAAATTTAAAATTCTATCAGCTGGAATCGATTCGAGAGAAGCAACGCTGTTTCCCTCGATCTCCAGAGTGTCTCTATAGGCGTACATGTTGCGATTCGAGACGTCAGCTTGCCTCTCCAGAGAGTTATTAACCGATGACCTTGGGTTTAGAACAAGATGAAATTCCTATCTTACTCGTTATTCTTCTCTCGTTTCCTTCGTTGGAAGAGGCTGCCGGGTTGAATAACTCGCGGTGACTTTCGATCGATCGTTCTCATCAAGTTACAGCTTGACTGGGGTGTATTTAACCCCGGCGGGCTGACGCGGGCTTGACGAAGAGAGAAATCCATCAGAAATTTCGCTGACCGGCCGTTTTCCAAGCTTCGGGTCTCGTTCAATCTGAAATAAGCCCTCTGCTCCGATGAAGCGGTAGTACAATTAGTTTCGCCGGTTCGTTGCCCGTGAACATTATATCGCGACTCGAATGAAATTCCACCCTCTCCTTTTATTTCCTACGATCTTCACGACTCATCTCACTTTTAACCATCGAATTCTTTCGCTACTTGCTCCTGTACGGTACCGAACCATAACTCATATTTATTTCCTACGATCTTCACGACTCATCTCACTTTTAACCATCGAATTCTTTCGCTACTTGCTTCTGTTCGGTACCGAACCATAACTCATATTAACATTTTTAACCATCTGCTAAATCCTACTGTTCCCAAATCCTGGACACCCTGCAATAAGGCACGTAGCAACAATAAAGACATTTGGCCAACCGATGTCGCAGCACCGCGTAAGGAAAAGGTCTCCATTCGCTTCCACTTTCGGTATCTTAGTCGGCATGAATTACCAGATCTACCGACTTTATGACTTTATTGTCTACGCCGCTCGCCAGCTCGTCACTCCCCTACCAGCAGCTCACAATCCCTAAAGTGAAATTTTGTCAACCTCCACCAATCATCGTCTGTACTTAAAACACACCTACAACCGCACCCTCTCCGACGTACCAAATGTATTCTCAACCACCGCCACAATTTCTCAGTTAGTACAGATACATCGCACATAACGACAACTATTCACAATTCCCTTGCTATATTTACTGTTAAAATTTGATTAGTTTCATTATATGATAAAAAGTAAACCTTCTCGAGATATTTGAAAAAACAATCACCCTCCTCCAAATCCGTTTGCGTGATTAGTTTCACGCAGATCATCGTTCGTCTTAAAATCGTCAGTCACACGATACGCGAACGGTAATTTCAATTTCATGAAAGTTGGAACACTCGTTCCTACCGAGGAAGAGTAGTACAGGAATGTTTGGTGGTAGACAGGTGATACACAAAATTTAATTACAACAGTTTTATTGGATAATCAATCTTTATCGATAGTGAGTCACGGAGTCACCCTAGAAATAGTGTGCTCTACGACTCTCGCTCTACGATATCTTCACTCTCAATGCTTCGCCCGCGACTCATTCATCTTGTTTTATTCTTTCTCTGTTTCTCTAGCTCTTTCACTCTTCGCGGATATTCTCAAAACTCATCCAGTCACGTCCATCGAACTTTTCGGGAGTCGCGCACCCTTCGTTCGCGCTCTAGTTCCGAACACTTATCATTCACACCTCTGTCGCTTGGACCCAGATATTCTTCCTTCGTACGAATTAGTCTTTGGTAGCGCGCGCTCAGTCAATTATTGCCTAAAATACGTATAAATTTTATTCAACTGAGTTTATTTAAGCTGTGTGCATATTATCCCCCCCCCCCCCAAGGGTAAGTAAACATTCACACGCGATACACTCTTCACTCGCACCTCTATCTTTCCAGTCCATGCACTCGGTGCAATCGTTCTTCTAATCTAGCATCTCTACAGTAGGACTTCACAACGGTGTCACATGCGTAACAGAAGTCGCTTGGGTTGTTCGGCCGAACAATGCATAGACCTGCACGTCCTAAAAAGTGAGGTCTTAGCCGGCACGAAAATTACTTTACGACACTTCTCACACCTGAACACCACATGATCTAAGATCATAAACAGACCTTGTACAAGCAGTATAACAAATGTAAGAACAAATTCCCCACTTTCACGCCACCACCAGACACACACCAAACACACCGAAAAAACCAATCACCACTTACGACAGTTTCACACCACCAATCACAACACACGTAGTTTATAAAATAGCGAACACCACACGACACGGAGCACAATTCTCCTACAGGTAAGCTCAGACATTTCGCGCTCTGTACACGTTCTCGAATACATAGTTTAACAACAAGTTGTTGTGCGTTAACAATCAATCTACCGTGCACTACCTGAGTCCCCTATCCCGAGTAGATTCCTTAAATGGTCTGACTGAAAAAGAGGGACAATTATCGGTCTCGCAACAAGCATATCGCGATTCGTAACAACGGTAATGGAATCGAGACGGAAGGTTAATTAAGTCGTGTAATAAGTGCGTCGAAGAAGGTGATTCTTCGATGGTTCAACACTCGAATAGAAGCGTATCTTCGCCTTCATTGTACTTTTCATCCGCATTTCCACCCAAGTTGTATCTTTTCACGCAACGTCGAGCTTCCTTTGGACATTTACCCGTTTCCCGGTGTTTATTGTATCGGAAAGAATGTCGGGTGACGTTGATCCGGCGCCGTTCCCCTTCGTGGAAGGGCAGAGAACGCGGCGACACCGTGAATTCCGACCGATATTCTGATACCCCGGCGGAAATCTCTGTAAAGTCATAAACGCGTGTCACGCGAGCTACGTGAGATTCCTGCTAGAGCCGCCTAAACTCGGTGAATAAGTCTGTGCTCACTGTGGAAACGAATTTCTGTCCCTTTGGAAACATTGGTACGGCGAAGGAGGAATTTAAATGTGCACATTTCAGTGGTGGTTTGACGTTAGTTCGGAATTTTGCTAGATGGAAGTTAACTCGATCGAGCTGTTGGAATTACACCGATAACGAGGAAACACTTAGTTCGAGGAGGACTGGTCGTTGCGGTAGATTAACACCGTAAGTGGCTGCGGTGAAGATCTGCCTTTTGCTCGGATATTTGGTATTTGTGGGGATGGAGATTCCATCTACCATCTCCCAAAGAGATGCTCTTTCTCCGTTAATTTCAGGCTTTAATGTATAGGGTTAACTTGATACGAGGAATCATTGTGTGCTCGGTATACTTTTTCACGCGTTCTGTGTGTAAAACAATTTTCTACATATTTGAATTAGCTTCGTTAGGTTCGAAAATTGAATTTGATAATTAACAAGTTCACTGTAACCTGTTACCATTACGTACTGAGACGTGCTCCTAAATGACTGTTTATCAAGATATCCAAGGTTTCTCTAGACTGATAACGTCATTTGACCGTACACTTACAAAAATTCGTATCTTTAATACCGATACAGGTTTCTTCACGCATCCTGTATGCGAAACAATTTTCTGCACACTTAAATTACCTTGACCCTTTAAGTCCGAGTGGGACTCCAGAGTCCCATACATTCTAACGAATTTTTAGTTACCCTCTAAATTCGGGGATGTTTTAAACTTGTCGTAGAATTTTTTTTCAGGGTTAAAATAATCTAGAAGCTACTCATTTGGAATGCATGAAAATATGACAATCATGGATTTCTGGTACTTAGGACTTAGAGGGTTAATTAAATTTGTAGAGTAACCGCTTTTTTTTTCGTTACCATACCGAGTACGAGCCGCGTACTCGCTAGACCCCCCGTGGCCTCAGGTAGCAGACAGCGGCTCGTGCGCCCCCAAGCCTGCGAAAAGGCTTGATCCACCCTGATTGGTCGGGTCTCGCCTTCCTAAAACATATAAAAGACGGCCTTTTGCCATAGAAAATCAGTTCTTACGGGAAGCCGACTAAGACTACTCAAGCGTACACCGAGCAGACATCTCCTTCGCGGATTACAGACGACACTCCTTGTTTTGCGACAGTCAGTACGGAGCGAACGAAGACTCCAGGACCAGGTTTCCTGTCCTGTCTCTACCCTCGCAATCCTCACCTATCCACCTCCTAGAGGCAGACGCTCCTTCGCGGATCATAGCGACACCTCTAGGTTGGCTCCAACTATCCAAGACACCTTCCCCGAGACAACAGACGTCTCCTTCGCGGGTCACAGACGATAGTTTCTCTCCCTCTCTCTCTCTCACTCTAACCTACTTCACCTAACCCCCTCCCCCTCCTTTGGGATTCCTGACCAAGCCGAACTTGACTCGCGTCAAATTCGCGCACTCTCGCCAACCGTTTTCGAGGCATAATCGCTTCCGTTTAGCTGTAATTCGACCTCACAACCACCAAGTGGGATTTAAATAAACCTCACGCTACAAATTAAAAAATTAAATTCGTCGATTAACCCTTTGAATCATCGCGTCCCTAATGGATACCAAATTGAGATGAATTTTTCTTCGTCTACACTGTTCACGAAAGGGTTAACGCGTTCACCGCAACTAAAATCGCACATCAAGTTTCAAAAAAATCAAATTGCCTGTGACTCGCACAACCCCTACACAGAAAAATCTTTACTTCCAATACCAATTCGCGTCATCCCCAGCAAACCTATTAAAGAGTCAACAAAAAATCGAGTCACCTTTGAAAAAACACAACTCTTCGATTTGAACGTAAAACAACAGCAGGGACGATAATAACGGAGAAACCTAGACAGAGAATTAGCGTAGGGTGTGTGACTTGAGACGAGTAATGGGTTGTCCCACGGTACATCCAGGCGATACACTAGGCGACTACAGAGAGCTGGGATACAGCGGCACCGAGGGAGCAGGGGTTGCTGGGAACGGGTCCTTGGTGATCCCACGGGTATCCAGAGATCATGCCGGCTTCTATCTATGCCAGGCTAGCAACGGCATCGGACCAGGCCTCAGCAAGCTCATCCGCCTAACAGTTCACGGTAAAATATTCACGCAACACCGAGCCGCAGCAGGCAGCAGGCTTTGGATCTGTGTCAGCCCGCGAACTTGGGATTCCGGCCACGACCACCTTGCTCCGGAATTCTTCGTTTCGTGGCCGAATTTCTGTGCCACGGGCCAAAGCGTTCACCGATCCAGTTTGGGGAACGCCTCACGGAGGACAGGCGGTGTCGTTACGGTCTGTTTTCCATGAAAACGCGCCTTTTCCTCGCCACGATGCACAACACTCTGCATTTTGAATAGACTGCACGGAATTTCGGAACGGTTCAATTTTATCATCCTTCGTTTATCACTTTTCTCTCTTTCTTTTCAAATAGAGCAGCTAATGCAAATTCTTGCTTCGACCTCTATGTAACTGGTAACCAGAAGGATATACGGAACATATTTGATCTGGCTGACGCGCGAAAAAAAGGACTCAATTTATGCAATACCAGGAATCGCGGGAGCTTTTACAATTCATTGCTCGATCCGATCGTATATTTTTCCCTACGTTCAATTGTCCGTGGATACGGCGGAAATATTTTCCCTCCAGAAAATTGCAACAACTGTTATTTCTCTATTTCCAGTCGATTTTTATTTTTCAATCGTATCGATCACCCGTCTAACTCCAGCTCAATTTTCGCCGTTGATACGAACACGACCGGGTGATCCGGAAATCTTTCCTCCACGCGGCGTTCCCTGGGGTAAGGAGCGAGACAGAGGCGCGAATTAACGTGGGGATCGTTTTGGGGGTGAAACAGCGGGACCACAGGTATCGGTGAAAACGCGGCAGGAGTCGGTGCGTCGAGGAGAGAGCGTGATGCTGCGGTGCGAGGCTGAAGGAGACGCACCTCTTGATCTGAGCTGGCGTGCGCGTGACAGCAGAGTCGATCCCAACTACGACGTTAGGTTTGTATCAAAATTAATCAAGCCCCTTCCATTCCTCTACACGCCCGAGCTTACGCCGTTCAACGGTCGATGGGAGTGACACTTCGATCTCCTATCGATTGACGGCACTGTGGCTTAATTACAATGCTAGTCGCTCGAGACAAGCCGCCCGATTAACGTGTCACATGTCTACCACGCGAGGAAAAGTGTATTCGCGTACTTTCGCGGAAAGTCGGTGTTTGCGATCGTTTCGGAGTGTCTCCGAGAGCTGTGACATTTTTTAGGTGTTGATATTGGGGAACGAGAGCTCGGTTGTCGTTTGTGAAGTGGCTAATCTAGAATAGAGAGCATTAACCCTTTAACCTATAACAATACAGAGATTCTGGTTAAGATGTGAGAAAAATAGTTATGTTAGTAAGAAGAATTAAGTTTTACTTTAACTTGGAAGACTGAGGATTACTAAATGTAATTAATCTGCAACAGATTAGCTTTTGTTACCTGATACAGTACTGAAACAGAAAATGGCTGACGCTTAGATGCGCAGTGAGAAAAGAAATCATAGGTTAAGGGGTTAAAACCTCGGACTTCTCTGCTTGAAAACCGGACGCTTCTTTTTTTTTTTAGATTAATCACGATATTCCAAGATAGAAACTTCCTTCTTGCGTTTGCATTTAGACTGCTTCTAACGCAACACTTGAGAATCTCTCCTGGTTTGGGCAGAATATGGCATCGGACCGGTACAGAAAATGCTTTGAAAAGTAGGACGAATTCGGGGAAACCCGAACGGATGGCAACCCTAATCGACACTTACAAGGGAAAATTACGAAACTGTAATCCCCGATTTTGAAGAAATTATTATTATTTTTCCGGAAAATAATTCTAGAAGGCTTACGCCTGAAAGCCTTAACAGTGAGAACTGCGGGATGCCGGGCCGTGAAGCCTCAAATCTCTGATATTGAGGAAATTTTTGTGTATTGTTGTTTTCAAAAAAATATTCCACGCGTATTTTTTTATTATATATTGCAATCATTTACAGCGAAGGGATGAAATCGCCCTCAAAATTGGAAGTAGTAAAATTCAATTCAATATCTCGAAAATTATTAGAGCTAGAGATTGAAAAATACAAAATTCGACAATTTACACAATTCCTCCATTTCCAATAATTTTCCAGAAAACGTTATTTTTACAAATGCCATGCTTTTTCTCTTTTTCAAAATAACCTACGTTTTACACGAATGCGTCTGTTTTCTCCTGTTGTACGTTTCAACAGACTAAAATTTTTAATCGAATGTGAAATTTCCTTTTTTCCATCAAAACAATTTTTCTTCTATTTTATTCACCCTTTGAAACCAAAAATTTCTCGTACTACCATAGCTACGATAATTCGACGATCTGTTTCATCTGACCCACCCTGCACATTTCACTCCCATTTCTCCCCAAGAATCTTACAAATACGTGAGTCGAACACAACGTTGACACAGCATTTTCTCCAGCACGTATCATCTCCCTCAAGAAGCTCGACCTTCCACCTTACGTTCCCCATAAAATATTACTTCTTCGGCGCAACATTTACCCTGTCGTGCACTGAGACTATTATTGCCCCTAAATGAGTTTCGACCCTTTCGCATCTTACGCGAAACGAGAAGCTCGTCGCGGAAAACGTTAGACAAAGCGTTAGAAGCCGTCCCAGAGGCCTCCTCGAGGGATTCATCCGGTACACACCGGCAGTTTCACTCCGCGAAGCGTGTGACTGAACGTCATAGTTGGAGAGTTTCCGCGGAACATTTTCCCAACAGCCCGGCGCGGCTCCTTCATTACGGAATTATTCGGCTCATCCCTTGTTGCGTCGCCCGCTAACTTTCGCTCACGCAAAATTACTCGAGCATCGCGCCCACCGACGTTCGTCAATAATTCCCGGCGATGTAGCCTCCCCGGATATCTATTAAATCCCGCGGATTTATCCTGCTCGTGGATCAACGGAGGAAAATGGAACGAAATTCGTTCCATTCGTCATGGTCCAGCGACAGAAACTTTTTGGGTAGCTTCACGACTCCTGGAAGATTGATCAAAAGAACGAGCAAAGTGATCATTCGTGGTTCTACTTGAAGTACGATACTGTGCGTTTAATTTTCGATGGTAATAAATTCGAGGAAATAAGTAGATCTGTCTGTCGTCGCGAGACTGCCAGAACAAACCTCGTTACAAATTTATCAGAACGTGTACCGGGGAAGAGTGAACGGAACAAACTGATAATTCCGGGAACTGGCCCATCCATTACTTAACCCTTTGACTGCGGGCCACTCTGAAGTAAAGCGTTCGCTGTATGCGACCTAGTTATAGCGTTAATAATCACTATCTACGAAACACGTTCACGAGTTAAGTAACCGCTGCATATAACCCCAACGAAATCACCGTGCTCTCTTTCCTATTTCGCTGAAATAACGATGCATCGGGTGGTTTGAAAGTTCGTAGCGAAATGTAGGAAAAATTGACGTATCTCTGTTCCTAACTGAGACAGCGACAAAAATCGAAAGGTATTTCACTCGTTATTCGAAGACGGACGCAACGCACTCCTGAAATTACTCGTAAAGTGAACGAAGAGGTGCATACCGGGTGATCTGGAAAGTTCGTAACGAAACGTAGGAAAAATTTAAATTGACGTATCTCTGTTTCTAATCGAGATAGGGGCAAAAACCAAAAGGTATCCGTTCCCCTGAAATTACTCCCAAAGTGAACTGTATTTTCCGCTGCGGAGCGTTGCCCGAAAAATTCAAGATCCACGCTCCACCGCGGAAGACACGGTTCGACTTACACCCACCCCTGTCGATCTCACGAATAATTTCAGTACTGCGTTCGATGCACCTCTAACCGTCCAGGAAAATACCGTTCAACTTTTATCGCTGTCGATTAGAAACAGAGATACGACGGTTTAAATTTCGAACTTTCCCAACTACCCGATATAACCGTGACGAGAAAAGAAGAAAAAGCGACACCAGTGAGAATGTTAATACCGTCCCTATTTCGCGCTATTTCAAACACACTTTCGAACTTTTCCGTCGACACATAGTCCATGAATATTCAACGAAACCGTTCTCGCAGGTACACGATAGACAACCAGAAGGTGTCTGGTCGCATGATCTCCGAGCTACGTATCAGCCAGGCGAACCACATAGACCGCGGTGACTACATGTGCGTGGCAACGAACGCGTACGGCCACGCGAGGGCTACGATCAACCTGCTGGTCCAGGAGCCACCGAATTTTCCCAGGGATTTACACATAGCCGAGCAAGGCAGCAGATCGTTGCAGTTGGCCTGGTCGTCGCCGTCCAGCGAACAGGATCCAGCTCACGCCAGCTCGCCCATAACCAACTACATCGTGCAGTACAAGGAGGCGCAGGGTAGGTTTGGCCAACGATTCGCTTTGTCCGCCGTTCCTGTACACGGCCGCCACGATGTATCGGGTGACGCGCGCGATTATCGATCGAGAGTACGCGGCTGTCCATCAGACGTCGCTTTGGGACGTCGCGTCGCCGGAAGCTCGAAGGATAGGAGGATGAGGATGAGAGCTTGCTGTGATTCTTCATCTGCGAGGTCCTTGAAACATGGAGTTGCTATCTTTCGGGTGGGGGAGTAATTAATTAGTATGGAGTGGAAATTTGATTAGCCGAGATATGGTTGAATAGGTTTGATTCAGTTTGACGGAATGTAAACGAGGATCAGGTCAGTGGACCGAGCTTCTTGCGACGCTACAGCTTGCCTCGAGGCAGAGAGGCGTGTCTCGGAAGCGTGTACCGCCGCCGTGACTTCGATTGATCGTGGTCAAATACGCATTTCGATAGCGTTGCATCGTGCGCGAGATTTCTGCCGACTCGGAATTTCGGGCCCGGCTATCCACGCTGCGTAGAGAATCTCTTAGACTCATTCCTATCACTAGTTACGCATTACTCATAATAGTGCACTCGTTCACGTTCCTTTTTAGCGCGTTCACACCGTTCTAGGGAATAAATTTCCCATCTAGGGAAAATATGAGATATTACAGATGTGCTTTGGTGATTTCGAGTCGATGTCGTGTATTTTCTATGTTGGATTCTATCGAAGACGCGGGATCGCGTTAGACTTTATTCGGCGGTAGATGAACTCGGTCTTCGACTGCTGGTACGAGAATTGTTTTCTCTGTTTTTCTTTTTTAAATATTATTTTTGCCTTACGAGGGAACTTCGGTAACTGGAAAATTCCGATTATTTTGAAACTTTGCAGGTTTGCAGGGTACCTCGAAAGAAGTATCGGACAATTCTTTTTTTTGCCCTTTTTTCATTCTTCAGGGTGAAAACAGCCCTTGAATAAAGATAGGTGTTGCCCTATTTCCCTGTATATCTTCAAAACTATAATAGATATAAAAAAATGTTTGTAATAAAAATTTAATTAAAAGTGTAAAATACGTTTAGTAAAATACAAAACGACGCTACAAAAAGAGCCAAAAAAAATTGCCTAGAAACTTGCAAAGTTTCGAAAAAATCGAAATTTTCGAATTACAGAAGTTCCTTTGTTAGTAGGAGTTGTGCCTATTGGCTCAGGGCCAATTTACCAACTTACCCCTCTATGTCACTACCTACTACGATCTTTTTCGATTAGCAGTATATAATTGCACAAGTAATTGCAGAGAAAAGTTTTCAAAAAATCCCTTTTTAGATTTTCGTGTTACACTTACAACGTATGACCATTTTCTTCTACCCCTCACCACGAACGAACAAAGCTGTAATAGCTAACAATAAGTCCTTCCTAAGCAACCGTTGAGACAGCCTCGAAAAAACTGCTCTTCACAATTTCCGAAAGTGAACCAATTACCAAACTCGTACTCGTCCGACATCTTTTCTTCCGACTTAAATTCTAGACCGGATCGATTACGCGATACGGCCGACTTTTTCTTTCTTTTCAATCTTCCCAGAGACAGGAAAAACATCTTCTTCACCGAGTAAGTTTCGAAAGTGGGCCTATTGCGAGTTCGCTAATGAAGACAGGCGAAACGAGGGGGTAGGATACCGCAAGAGGAAACACTTAGCTATTACAAGAGTTATCAGGTATCAAGCTGTCACCCTTAGTTTATCCTGACACCGCGTTGCGCCAGGAAGTATAGTAAGGGCTGCTAGATGTTCTTTTGAAGGCAACTATTCGCTCGTTTCACATTCGCCCCTGTAGTATACGTGGCTCGCGACGAGATGAAAGCTGATACGTTAAAGGAAATAGATATGCCAGCGTAGCTAGATTATAGTCGGGTTGCCTAACTTTGGCAACGTTACGCCCGAAACCTGGATCCCTTTCCGCGTCGCGCAGCGTTTCTCAAACCTCTGCATCTTCCAGTTTTCTCCTTCTATTCCTCTCTCTCTCTCTCCGTGGTACATCGTCGTAGATTATCGTCGAGACATGCACGAAATTTGAGGAGAAACCGTATTGTCGCAGGCATTAAATCCACCGGATGAAAGAGATCCGGAGGATCGAGAGCGCATCGAGCTCAAGCCACTTCTTCAGACACCGCTACAGATAACTGAATCTTTATATGACCGGGTGATTTATCGCTTTGACATCGAGGCGCGGTGGAAAGAGACCGGCTGAGACCTCTTTTGGAATTCAAATAGCGACCTCTTCGCGTCGCGACGCTGTTATCCGTCGCGTCACCGAGATCCATCTTGGTGTACCTCGACTTTACCGATGTCGTTCGACTCGTCCATAACGATTCCCGCGTGGAACGTGTCAGGCGTTATTCATACTTCGCGTCCTCTATAAAATCTTCATTTCCCACACTTCGCCACCCTATCACGCGCGCAACCTAACGTTATTCCGTCCTAATTTCACTTACCTCTCTCTCCTGCCTATATGTTCCCCGATAAGTAAAACTAATCGACGAGGGAAATTGGAGGAGGGTATCGCCGGGACATTCGGTGAAATTTGAGAAACGCTGGTCCTCCGCGGGCCTCTGTTCGCTGTCGAATCGATCCTCGTACTCTCGACACACGTATTTACACAGGTAGACAGGAAAAAGTCCTTGTAGATTTTTGGATATTTAGGGCAATATCTGGTGGATAGGATGGAGAACTCAGAGATTTGAGAACTGTTTTTCTCAAGTACGTCTGGATTGTCGCATAGTTTATTATACGTCTCGAGACGTGAAGGTTCAACGCGGTCGATTTTTCTTACCTTTATTTAATCCGTCACGCACGAGGATAGAAGAAGGAAAGGAATTTCATTACTGGTCCGCGACAGTTTTCATTTAGACTTTCTTTTGTTTACACGAACTTTCCTCCGGTCTGTGAACTATATATAGATATGTATTTTAATTGCTTTTCATCCAGTGGCGTACAATCGTCGTTTCATTACGGAGCGGCCGTCGCGTCGGAAGGAGTTCGATTCGTAATATCTCGACGGTGCCACATTAAGACTCCATTATTGGACTGTCAGGCTGGATCTCAAGTTTAATCAATACAGCGACCGGCTGGCTTGCGGAGGCAATCGAGGGGAATGAAATTATAACGCAATATGGCAAACAATATATAATCAATCCAGGTTGCCGATCGTGCAAGCCCGGTAAATCATTGTTTCTTTCGAGTAGATTCATTTGTGATTTGTCTGGATCTCTGTATACTGTTCGTTAAGCTTCCGAGCTCCTTTCGTCGGTGTAACTTCCTTGTTATTTATTACCAGATATGCAATAAGAATCTTAGGAAATATCAGTCAGCTATTTCAGGGAATTTTATTGTCGTTCAATTTGCCCAAAGGTTAATTCGAAATTGATAAAACAGTTGTAGACGTTTCTTCTTTAATAGATTCGACATGACCTAACCTCAATCTTCGTAAGATATTCGATAAGAATTTTTAGAAATACGAATTAGCAATTTCAGGAATTTTCTTGTCTTTCAATTTACCCAAATAACAGTTCGAAATTGATAAAGTAATTGCCAGCATTTTTGCAGACGATTCTCTTCTAATAGATTCGATTTGACCTAACCTCAATTTTCGTAAGATATTCATTAAGAATTTTTAGAAATACGAATTAGCAATTTCAGGAATTTTCTTGTCTTTCAATTTATCCAAATATTAATTTGAAATTGATAAAACAATTGCTAGCATTTTTGCAGACGATTCTCTTCTAATAGATTCGATTTGACCTAACCTCAATTTTCGTAAGATATTCATTAAGAATTTTTAGAAATACGAATTAGCAATTTCAGGAATTTTCTTGTCTTTCAATTTACCCAAATAACAGTTCGAAATTGATAAAGTAATTGCCAGCATTTTTGCAGACGATTCTCTTCTAATAAATTCGACATGACCTAACCTCAATCTTCGTAAGATATTCGATAAGAATTTTTAGAAATACGAATTAGCAATTTCAGGGATTTTCTTGTCTTTCAATTTATCCAAATAACAATTCGAAATAGATAAAACAATTGCTAGCATTTTTGCAGACGATTCTCTTCTAATAGATTCGACATGACCTAACCTCAATCTTAAGATATTCAATAAGAATCTTGAGAAATACAAGTCAGTAATTTCACGGATTTTCTTATCGTTCAATTCGCCCAAACGTTAATTCGAAATTGATAAAACAATTGCTTGCACACGATTCTCCTAGAATAAATCCGACGTGACCTAACCTCAATCTTCCTACGTTTTCTCGTGCTTCGTTATTCATTACCAGCCACTCGATAAGAATCTATCAAAGTACGATTCAGCAATTGCACGAATTTTCATATCCTTCAATTTACCTAAACGTTAATACCAAATTGATACAACAATCGCTACCCCGTTTGCCCGCGATTCTCTAATAGATTCGATCCGACCTAACCTCTCTCCCCCATCCTACACTTTCTCCGTGCTTCGAAGCTTTACAATCAATCCAATTTCTCAATTCCCCAATGAGAGTATCCGCCAGTGGACCAACGAAATAATAAACGATCCCATCAGAGCCTCTCGAAGCTGGCCAATTCGTGGCGATAGCAGTCGCCGTTGGTTTTTACATTTTAATGGAAAAATTAATTTCCAAGCCGCCACCACCCCTTAGCTCGCGATCTTCGTTCGCGCAGGTCCGACGAAACGAAGGGGCGAAAGTTTTTCAATTTTCGTGAAAGCTGGGGGCCGGGTTTTGTCGAGCCGAACGTATTGTTGTCGGTGGTACCAAGGGAGAAAGCCGGGCTATCGTTGTATTCGACGGTTATTCCACGATATTTAATTACGCCGCGTGGAATGACCCGTTTTTTCAGGCAGCTGGCCCGGTCGCAGGGTTGTTCTATCGAGCGGGGACGACGATGGGTAGTAGGGTGTCGGTTTTCATAAAAGCCTGCCACAGCAAGGAAGTCTAAGTTTGCCGCGAAGTCGATGTCAGGGTTTCTTCACCTCTCTCTCTCTCTCTCTCTCTCTCTCTCTCTTTATGTCTCCTGGCTTTATTTTCCCCGGCAGCAGTGGAAAGTTCCCTTTGAAAGCGAACGAACCCCACCCTCCGATGCACGAAAGCCTCGGCTGGCCTGGCCGCCCTCAGGATCCGGTCCCTCGTTAACTTCGGATGTCCTCATTTACGCCTAATCGACTCGAATCGCCTGGCCGCCGCTAAATTATCGAACTTAACACATGGAGAGGCACCACACAGGCCTGTCCTGGTGTGAACGCGCGTGAAACACGTTTTCAGGGCAAGCACCGAGTCGGGAATTCGCTATCACTGCCGCCCCCGGGATTTCTTCTCTCCGCCGCCACCGTCGCCGCCCCCCATTAAACTCCATCGATCGTACAAGCTTGATCTTCGTTTCCTTGTCGACGAATCATTTGTTTTTTTTCTGTTTTCACTTCTCTCATTTTTTCCCCTTTTTTCTGTACACACTGCGCAGTCTGGAAATCGGAATTAAAGATAAATAGTTGGAACGTGAGAATGTTCCAGAGGGATCGCGATGAATTTTTTAGAGATATCAACCGGTATCCAGGGGACCTGATGAAAAAAGAATGAATGTGTTGGTTACCGGGTGATTTTTTTTTTCTTTTTAGATAGAATAAAACAGAGTTTCGTTCGTTTCTTTGTGTACGATGAATTTTACACTTTTTTCGATCGTCGACAATGGACGTCGCATGTTTGCTCGTACGTTCGATTTTTCGACTGTTTCCAGGCGGATTACCGCTACTCTAATCTCTCGCGACGGCGGGAAACTAATTTCGCCGTGTACGGTAGAGAAATCCTCGTTGTTTTCCCGGGATAAGAAAACTGTCGGGAGACAAAAGTTGCTCGGATCCGTTTATGAAGGGTCGCGCAACAGCCCACGACCTTCAAGACGTGTCGTGGAAAGTTCCTTTTTTTTCCAGACGGGGAAGAAGCTTTGTTCGAAAGTTAAGAAGTATTCTGCCTGGCGGAGGCAAGTTTTCAGACACCATTTGAATGCATATTACAACAGACGCTGAACATTGATACGCGAAATTTTCAAATTGAATTCGAGATTCTCACGGGTCGTTGAACTTTTCTTTGAAACAACCGGATTACAATCTTCGACAAATTTTCGAACTCCCGTTAAAGAGCAACGAGGGTAGTTCTAGCCGCAAACGTATAGTCGGTGGAAGAGATGTAGCGTTAAGAAGGTGTACCGTGACGGCGAGTTTATATTTTCTGCCCTGATTCAGTTTTCAGGTCCTTATCTTCTCGAGTCGCTATCTAACTTTGGAACTTTGTTCGTTCGAGCAATCCTACGATGTCGCTATATTTCTTCCACTCGCTATACATACATACAGCCTCGGTCAAAGTATTAGGTACTCCGTACAATATGAATTATTTAAACGTATCTTTGTATCAGGAGGAAATCCTGATATTTGAAACGAACGTGATTCGTTGAATTATCGAAACGTGAAAATAATCACTTTTCATTAATCTTGTGAAATTTTATTGGGCCACCCTTTGTCACAACTTGACAATCACAGCAATTTCTTTCCCACTTTTACCCCGTTTCTTAGATAGAACTAACTCGCTTAACTTTCTAACTTTCAAAATGTTAACAGCAATACTAAAGTCTAGCCAACGTGTGTTAGCGGAGACACAACCTTCAAAAAATCAACTATCACTTTCATATTGTTTCATGGCCCACCATAAATCTTGACAAATACATCAAAATTCCTTTGAACTAACCGACAAAGGACGACGAACAATAGCAAAGTCTCGAAGAAACAGTTTGCACGGTAAGTTTGCAATAATCAAGGTGCCGAATGTTTTTGCCCAAGGCTGTACACGCACAGAGTAGTACAGTATCTGTCAGTGGGCGGGGCGAAGGATTCGCGTAGGTTTCGCGTGAAAACCGCGCGTCGTAAATCCGTGGACTAGCCGTAGCTCGAGCAGCAGAGATGCACAAAGCCCTCTAAGCGTTGTCGTTGCCTTTTGCTGGAAAGACGTGTGGCATGAGCACAACACGCAGATGATGGTGGCAGGGGACAACACGGTCGCGCTGGTGTCGCCCCTAAAACCGGCTACCTCCTACCACTTTCGGGTGCTTGCGGAAAATCACCTTGGAACATCAGCGCCAAGCGACATCCTTCATGTCAGTATCAAACGTTTCAGCATGTCTCAATGCAACCAAAAAAATAAACAAACTTACCATTACACCATAATATATTCATCATGTTCGTTCGAACATCGTTCATTGCACATTTCTCTTGTTAATTCACTGGTAATCTCTCTTTTCACACGAATCACTCGTCGTCGAAACCGAACCCAAAAAATGCAACCAACCAACCGACAACAGGCCCAAACTGACGGCGAGATACCAAGTGGACCACCTAGAAACGTAATCGCCGAGCCATTAGGACCGCAGCAAGTGAAGGTCACCTGGCAACCACCAGATCGATCCCTATGGAATGGAGAACTTCTCGGATACACCATCCGCTACGCCAGTCCCGGGTATCGTTATCCGCTTACGGCTGTTTAGAATAGTTTCTAGCACACTTCGAGATCGTAGAATTTAGCGCGAATGGGGGTAGGTTGGGCTCCGTCTCGTCGGAGGGCTCGAATCTTCGCCGATTATCGCCGGTGATTCCTCCTGCTCGACAATGGGGCCGACGATCACCTCTCGTTCCCACACCTCCCCGCGGATAATCGCCGCCCTTTGTTCCCGTAACCGATGTTCGTTACCTTCCGTCCGTTCCGCCGTGAAACGTCCAATTTAAGTTCGATTCTCGTGGTAGCTTTTATTAAACCGTGTCACGACTCTCTCTCTCTCTCTCTCTCTCTCTTCGCAACGTGGAATATTATAAATCGAACAGAGTGACAAGCTTCGTGAACCTGGAGGAGCGGGGAGGAGAGAGGTATAAACTTTCACGGTGGGAAACTTATACTAATAATAATCCCGCACGGTGATATTCACTCGCGTTTCGAACAGCGCGAAACGATCGAATTCCTGCAAGTTTCTGTCGGATGAATTCTCCAGATTCCCGATTATAATTCGCCCAAGTCTATTCGTTAGGCGAGGGAGAGCTAGGGAGAGACGCGTCGTTTCGCGGCGCGAACGTTCTTTGGAAAAATGGTGTTTCGCGTTGATGGGCGGGTGGAGGAGAGTTGGTTTTGATATCGGTAAAGAGAAGTTGGAGGAATCGGAAGACTATTTTTTCGCTCCAGTTTCCACGGGAGAGAGATGACTTTAAGTATCGTCGAGTTTCCCCGCCCGCGTTCCTTTCTCGCGCCTTTATCTTTCCGCCTGGAGGAACATCGAACGTGGCTTTATTTCAGAGGGAATAATCAATCGGTGAACATCAACGGGAACGGGGACGGCTCGTACGATTATAGGCTAACCGGCCTTCGAAAGTACACCCAGTACAACGTGGTGGTGAAGGCGTTCAATAATAAAGGCGACGGTCCTGAATCGAACCCGATCACAGTGCAGACCCTCGAAGACGGTGAGCGAACAATATCAAGGTTATTCTTCTTCCTTTCAGTTTCTCTTTCTTATTCTCGCGGTTTCTGGTACGTTTCGAGCTGATGGAAACTTTTCTGCAAATTGTTCTATTCTCGCTTCATTTCTTTTTTTTTTTCATCCTTTCTTTGGGTAATTTCTTAGTGTTGAGTTTGATCTTTTGACGAATCATTTGGAGCACGCTGTTGATTAATGAAATTGCACGTGACGTGTTTAACCCATTAACGCTCAAATTATTTTTACGCTGTTACGTTTCTAGCTGATAGAAATTTTTGTGGAAATTGTTCTATTTTTGCTTCATTTTTCTTCATTCCTCCTTTGGGTAACTTGTTAGTGTTGAGTTTGATCTTCTGATGTGTCGTTTGAGACACGTCGTTGATTGATCCCTTAACCTTCACACTTTTCTCAACTTGATACGCCAGATAAGATCAATTTTACTTATTTTTACAATTATTTCCTGGGCGTGCGGAAATAAGTTTCCCTTTATTTATAACGCTACAATTTACTTCTGTTTTTTGGTGTAATAGAAAGAACAACGTAATGTGGAAATTGAAAGAAAATAATGTAAGAAATAACGCCCAAATTATTTCTCTCTTTTTTTCCACGATGTTCCATGTTTGATACCGTGGAAAATGAATGAACTTAGCATGACTTAGATTGTTAGGTTGCTGCATACGAAATGGCCGATTTCACAACTGCGTGATATTTTCAGAATTGCGTTCTTAAATTTGCCATCCAAAACCGAACGAAAGTAAAGCTTGAAGTTAAAAAGAAACCGTTTGCCATTTGATGGCGAAATAATTGACGAACCACAACCATTTAAAAATGCTACTGAACACTGGTTTAGAGCTATCAATAATTTGCACTATTTTCCGAGAAAGCAACACCGTAATTATCTGCCTTACATTATTCACAAGTAGTACAAAAAGCTAAAACGAAAGTATCATTAAAAAGGAATACTGGGTGTTAATGGGTTAAAAGCTTTCTAAAAGATTCCCACAAAATCAAGCCTTGAAAAACAATTTTCAAAAATACGTTATAAAAATGAAGTATCGTTTATTATGAATGGTGAAACAGTAGATAATCAAATACCACATACCCCATTAACACGTTCGCTGCCGTCGGAAAATCGGGAGGAATGTACCGTATGCCATCGATTCGTACTCTCAACTAGACACGCGATTTTCACCATGATTTTCGTAGTCCTACTCTTCGATCTTTCGTTAAAGTGATCTACTTTTGATATCGCGATGGTGACAAATTGATACACTGTCGACACAGTGTCGACAATGGCACACAGGGCAAATTATTCCATGTCGATACAAAACAGAAATTTGAAGTAGGTGCAGCACACTCGATCGGAAAATCAGGCTTACAGATGCGCGAAATACCTGTGTCGACGATGCTTCGACGCCGGCAGCGAACGCGTTAACACTCCTCTTCCACCTCGACAACAAAAGCACGCACACACACAAGAAAGATCCACAATTTCTCTAAAATTCGAAAGAACCTAATCCGAGCGTCAGTAAAGAAATAAAGGCAGCATCCGTTAACCACGACAAAGGATAATCGTAGGACTTGAGCAGTTTCCGGATTAATATAGAGCCGGACTTGGCGCGTCCTCGAGCGCTGATGAGGCCACCAGCAGGTTGGCTACGCTCGCACGAAACGGCGAAATTAATTTCAGCGGCAGCGGTTTACACCCGGAAAAGCCGCAATAACACGGCGGAGGACGGTGAAAAAAAAAAATTTGCATGCTCCGTATATATATCTCGCAAGGCGAGGCTCGTTAACTTACGCCCCCTCTCTCTCTCATTTTTTCTACTCGAATGACCTGTTGTTTCTAACTTGTTGAATTTTCACCCCTCGCGATCCGAGAGAGAGAGAGAGGGGATAAAAAGCGTCTCGTTTGAAACGATTAAGTTCGCGACAGTCGGCGGAAGCTACTCCCTGTCATACGGTGCGTCTCTCCCCTGGCGCCGTGAAACTTCCGCGGGACTATTTGTTCGTGTTTCACGGAACGACGGGAATATTTCAGACGAACTTGTCGCCCCCCGCCTTGTGCACCGCCGCTGCTGAAATATACAGGCGGGACTGCTGGAGAATTTTCGTTGATGAAATTCGAATTTATAACCTGAGCAATTTTATCTACCCGTTTTATTCCATTCTTTTTAACATGCTTTTGTTGAGGCTCTTTTCCCGGTTTCGCGGTACTTTTCTACGATTCCTATTTAGTATTTTTTTTTACTCGTCTGCGATAACGTTTGACTGAGAAATTCGGAGATATCGGGTGTAAGGGATAATAGTGAACATTTGCCGGTCACGTGAATTCGTGAATTTTCACTATTGGAAAAGGGGTTATGGAAATGAAGTAGTCTTTGTAAACTGTTAATATTCCATTTATTAAACGTCTTTACTCTTTCAAATGCCCCAACGAACTGTCTCTGGACACCCAAAGAGGGAAACTTGGGGTCCGTTTGTACCTAGGAACTGTTTGACTCGAAGACGGACACCATCTGGTGGAAGTCTTCGTGTCTTTGTCTAAAAGAACGCGGAGAAATTTTTGTCCTCACTTGACTATTTCTGCAGGGTGTTAGAAATAATCCAACATTCGCAAACTGCAATGTTCATTTTTTTTTTTTTAAATTGAACGTGATTTTAAGATTCCAAATAATTTTTATTACCTTTGATGAGATTTTTCTGTTTAATAGGCAACCGATGAATTCTCTTTCTGGAAAATTATGGCGCTTTTGGTTCCATAAATCTTTTTTCGTTAAGTGAAAATAGGTAAATTCGAAAAAGCGAGACCGTGGCTTGAGGGAGTATGCCATAAAGGCCACGACAGTATAATTTAAAAATGCTATTGATATCTGGTTCAGAAGTTAGCTCTATTTTTGGAAAAAGCTGTCAGCGACTACCAGATGGGAATTTTCACGATTTTAATTATTAAAATATTTTTAACTGAATACAAAGAGCTTCTGTTCATCGAGAAACATGTTTAATCGCAATATGTTAACATGTAGTCGTCGTTAAATTTGTTTCTTCTGGGAAGACAAACTCTTGTCTACGCAATTCTCTTCTAATTCGCTGCAATTTGCAATAGCACTTTGAAATTATCCTTGATCCTCGCGACATACTCCTATAAGCCACCTAAAAAAATTCGTGCCGTTTTATTATCAATTGCAATATAGTCTTGCAAGTGCAATCGATATTATATCTAATTCGATTTCATTTAACATCGGTTTCTAAACCTGACAATAAACGATACTAACCAACAGTTATCCCTACAATAATCCTTCACGAGCGTGATCGCCCGAAGAAAGCGTAATACTCAAAGAACTACCTTTAGCATCCCAAAATCCTGACCAGGGAATACACGAAAACTCGCGCTACGTGAACGTTTCCTTCGCAAACGCGTTCAGAAACGTTCCACGGGGAGCTTAGTCGAAGTTAAACGCGCTTTACGTCCGCGATGCATGAAATTCGTCGCAGACTCGCGCGACTTCCGCGGTCCGTTCCGCTCGAAACAATGGCGTCGCTTAATTGCGCGGTTTCCTTCGGCGTCACTCGAGGAAACGGTTAGATATAACGAAGGCCTCGAATCCCAACAACGAGGAACCCCGTCGCGTAAAATCATCTCCGGCCGAAAAAATCGCGACACACGGTAGACACGCGAAGGTATTCTCTTTCAGTTCAACTTTCAAGTTGAACACACTCTTCCTCTACCACCCCGCGAGTTGAGTGCAACCGGAAACGTTCGACGGCCGCGCGTTCCATTTTCCCTTCCGTTCTTCGTTCACGGCTGGAGAATTCGAGACAGCGCCTGGCCATCGAACGAGCTTCCTCGCAAGGGAAACACGCTTTTGTGTCCCGCGAAAACCGCAGACAGAGTGGATCCCTTTGTGTACACGCGTGCCACGCCGCGTTTGACACTTGACCCAGTGGAAAAAAGATCGCGAGCTGTGGTCTAGCGCTCGCTCGTCATCCCTAACGAGACAGATGAACCTCTCTATAACACATCTGCGCCGGACGCATTTTTCAATCGAACTTTTCCTCTCGCTTTGTGCACTCTGCGTCGCGCAAATTACCTACCCGATATAATGTACTCACCTGCGGGGATTGTT